CCGCCTTTCGCAAACCCCCCACCACCCAGCAGGGGCTCCTGCCGCTCGTTGGGGTCCGGTGAACACACAGCCGGGGATACCTCACAGTCTTGTTCCGCCTTGGGGAGTCCCATCTCGGGGAACCTGGCTTTGTGCGCCGGCTGGAAACCGAGGCTGGTCCCTGTGGGGGTGGCGTGGGTGCCAGGGGCCAGGGTTGCCCCTCCATGGTGGGCTGGGGTGGGCCGGGGCCTCTCCCCCCGTGGGCTCCGGGGTGCCGTGGCCACGGTTCTCTCTGCATGCAGCTCGTGTGGGTTAGGGTCCTGAAGCCCTTGTAGGGCCTCTGCAGGGAACGCGTCCCCGGGGCCTGAGGCAGCCCGGTGGGCAGGCAGCGGGGAGCCTACCCTGCCAGCACGCTGGGCCTCTCCCGGGTCCCCAGGGGCCCCGGGCGCACCTCTGCCCCTCCGTAGCTCCCTCTCCAGCTCCGTGACCAGCCTTCGGATCTCTAGCTCGTCCTCGGACAGATTGCTCCGAAGAGAGACACTGTATTCGCTTCCCTTCCCTGGCCCGGGGGGAGGGCTGGGGGCCGCTGTCCCTGCACAGGGGTGCTTCTTCCCAAGTGCCTTGTCCTCTGAGAGCTCAAGAAAGTGGCCAGGCAGTGCTGGGGACCCTTCGTCCAGCAGCAAGAATGAGGGGCCCGGAGGCTGTAAGGGGACCGTCCTCAGAGGAGGGCCCGCACATGCCATGGGTGCATGGGGGTCCCTGTTTGCACACAGGCTGCTGTAGAGTGGCGGGCCAGACCCGTCCAGGGCCAGCCCCGAGAAGAGGCACGTGGGCTCCAAGGTCAGCGGTGACTGGGCTTGACCGTGGGCCATCCCCGCCATGTAGGGTGGGTTCTTGGGCGGTCTTGGCTTGAGGGGCTCCATGTCCACACCATGATGGCAAAGGCAGGTGTTGCTGGCTGGCCCTGTGACTGTAGCTAGGGATTTGGGGTCCAGGTCTCCAGGGAAACAGCCAGCCAGGTCTTTGGGTCCAATGAACAATTCGCTGGGGGCACTGCTCTGGGGCTGGTGCCTCCTTTTGGCAGCTGGAGCCCCCACAGAGTCTCCGCAGGCAGGACTGGGGATGCGGTCGAGACTTGCATTCTTCCAGAGCGAGACTTGGGGCTCAGGGG